ACAAATACATATTTAGACTTTTTAGATTATTCCAATGGCTTTTAGAAGTAGCAGGTTTCCAAGAGGTGAAGAACCACTCCTTATTGCTATTTAAACTAACTTCAATCCTCGTTTAGTCTTGATTTAATCCTAGTTTAGACTTTATAACTCCTTAATAAAAAATCTAAAAATCCAGATTTAAACCAGATAAAGTTGTGGGTTAAGTTGGTTTAGTCCTTCTTTGACCTTAACGTTAGGAATTTGAAATTCAAATAATTAATTCTAGTCATTTTGACAAAATAATTACTGGATGTTTAGTGATACAGTAAGTATTTCATCCCTTGCTTATTATGTAAGATTGTATACTGACAAAAAAAAAAAAAAGAACAGTCTATCATTTTAATGGTAGATTGTGAGAGACAGAACATCAAAAAGAAAATCCAGAAAATAACTTTAAAGAAAATATATAAACTGATTTGCATTTTATTGAGTGAAATAAGTATTTGAACCCTCTAGCCAAAAAAGACTCAGTACCCTTGTTTGCAAGCATAGAGATCAGACGTTTCTTGTAGTTAATGACCAGGTTTGCGCACATATTGCAAACATATTTTTGAACAATTGCACCAGCAGTTGTCTTCTTAACACCCAGCTTCTTGCTTATGGTTTTGTAGCCCATTCCTGCCTTGTGTAGGTCTACAATCTTAGCCCTGACATCCTTTGACAGCTATTTGGTCTTTTTCCTGTTGGAAAGTTTGTAGTCTGATTGATTGACCGATTCTGTGGACAGGTGTCTTTTCTACAGGTGACTAGTTAAAACAGGCATCTAATTAAGGTGATGAGTTTATTAGGAGTGTTTAACTGATCTGTGGGAGCCAGAACTCTTAATAGTTGGTAGAGGATCAAATACTTATTTCACACTATGAAATGCAAATCAATTAATATTTTCTGAAATGTGATTGGATCTGGTTTTTTTTTAAATGATATTCTATCTCTCAATATAAACTTCAGCCCCTGTTTGGCCATACAAATGTCTACATGCTGACCCGTAGTTACAAGTGTGGTAGTAGTAACAGGTTTCTTTGGTTACAGAGGCATGCCTCAGGGACATGAATGGTCAGTTTGTCCACAGTGTGAGTGCTCAGTCAGTTCTGCTTATTCACCTGTGTCACAACATTAGGAGAAAGGGCTGCACACGAGGAGAGGGTCCAGCCATGAAAGCAAATGTCATGCGAAGGTCAAACTTACCCCCAGAGGTCAGTGATCCCTCTCATCCATGCTGTTTAAGCTGTTTAAGAGAAAGATGTGTTGAAAAATCATACACAGGGTATGACTGGCAAATATTTCTGTCAGAAAAATTATGCTTTAAAAGTATTTTGTATTGATGAATAGAGGGTATGATTTAACTTTTAAGTAAAGCAGTTGATGAAAAAGAATTAAAATGACATAACTAAAGTCAAAAGGCAATACTGGGAAAACATAACTACACAGGCACAATAAACCAAGGCGATTTAACTACACCTGACTACCATAAACATAATTATGCACCATTGTAAAATCTGCCCTCTTTAGCTTGTTAACAGTGTATCTGATGTGTACAGAATGTAGAGTACAGAATGAACAGACTTGGCTCTTGAGCCCTGAAACCTGTCCGATTAGCTTTTATTATCTTCTATTTTCATATGAACAGACTGTGTGGTCTCCCCAGGAATGTGCAGGGAGTGAAGTGTAGCTCTCCTCTGTTACCTTTTCAGACAATGACAATGTTCCCAAATGTTTTATGGGCACACACGGATACTCATTTTGAACCAGAATGCTATCACTTTCTTTCGCATGCCTTTCAGAGTTCAGTGAGCATAGAGAATGAGTCTGCTGAGGTTTTACTTTACTGTTATATGCTCGTAAAGGAGTAAAGCTCAAGACCCAGATAACCTACCTGCCACTATCTAAAACCTCAACAATGTGTATGTTTGATAAATTGTGAGGTAACAGTGTCCTGGTTTGAGTGAATACTTGAGTGAATACTTCATTGTATCTTGAACAGGTTACTTACTAATATCTCCTTCTTACTAAAGTTTAGATAACCTTAGCTAAGCTATAATACATTGTGAATTGTAATGTCCTTCTATAAACAAAGCTGGAGATTCAACAAAATATAATAACACTGGTTTCTGTTGGTGATAGAGGATATATTAATGCTGAATATGGCCTAATGTATATATGCAACAAGTAATTTAGAGTATTCTTAAAAATGACTCCTCAGCTAGGGATCATATGCCCACATAATTAATTAATATTTATTCATAATTAATAAAGAGGAAAATCATTCAGTCACTGATAAATCTACTGTTCACTGTCATGTTGTCAAATTGTCTTGAGTCTATAAGCAGTGGTAGAGCGCTAAAAGCAAAGCAAAGTGAAAAAGACAACAAACATCATTGGTGAGTTCACTTACTTGATGCCCAAAATGTCTTGTAACTCTTCTCAGTGACTAGAGCCAATCAGAGGGTTTCGCTGCTGTCAAATTTATTAGAAAGAACCTAGACAGGAGACACACGATATAGCCACACGTCACAAACTGAATTTATGTTTCTTGTCACCAGATCATGAAATAAGCTCTAAATGAGTCCTAGCCTTTGTCAACACTGCACTAATAGGAAGAAACACAATTTAGCTGCAATTCAGTCATTGTCTAAAACTGTCCATTGGCTCGTGACTTCAGCATACTTTGTGACCTTTCAGGGTCACAGAGTAAATTCTCAAGTGATATTCATCATTCCCTGAGTCAATCATTACAAAAAAAAACCTCCAACATACTTTTACACAAGGTCTGTGTATTCACACAAGGTCTGTGTATTCACATGACTGGCTGATATCTGTTTTCATTATGTAGCAACTTCATTAGACCTACTTGACTATTTGTTATTCATTCTGTGCAGTTTAATAAACTTCTATTTATTTTAATTATTGTTGTTTTACAACACCAAAATTCTGTTCCAACAGCCTGCTGTGCCACCCAGGCATTGTTATTGAATTATCTGTAATAGAACAAATGGCTAATAGCTGAAACTTGAACTAGGAGCCCAAACCGTCACAGTGTGTGAAGTGAGGTGTTTTGCCCGTGTCGGTATGTCACTACTGAGCTGTCAAATAGTCAGTGCAGGAGGCCTCTGTATATAGACTCTCTATTGTGGATGAGCTCAAGTCCAGTACAGCCTCTGCATACCACACTCAATCCACAGGCCTCCTCAGAATACTGCACCTCCTGGTAATCTTGGCAAACCCTTGATCTAAAAGTCAACACTCCACTACCATGTTATCACAGCACAATCAATAGTCCAACAAAAGGAGCTGTGACATTGTTTAACCCTAATTGAATGGGAAAGGAATTGTGGGTTTTATTTATCATTAAACAGACACACAGATAACCTATGAAATTACATTGTTATTTACTGTATTATGGCTAGATCCTGGTTCAGAATGGAACAAGGAAAAGGGAAACCTGTGTCTAAGTGCTTGTGCAGCCTCTGTTTTCTCTAAACAAGTGAAAAACACTTCCAGTCCAAGAGACACAAAATTATGGTAAGCAAACTGTGACACAACTTGATGGATGCACTGTAAACTGTAATTCAGCTCTTGCGTGATGTGCAAGAGAGTTTATGTTGGACCATAGCTTTGTCAATAGTATATTCTAAAATACTAGGATACTTAGTCATTGGGTCATACTTAATTTCAGCCAAATATTTATTTTTCGGAAAATGCTTGTGGAAACCAATTTAAGCTAGCCAAAACATTATGTCATTCTTCAAGTAATCAACCAGTACTATTACAAAAAAACAATACCATACCAACCAGAAATATTTTTACTAATGATACCTCCAATTTATGTTTAACATTTATGGAAAGATGCATATTCTTAGCTGGCCTAATCACAGCAAAGTGCTTGTAGCCTGCAGTTGGAAGACCTTGTGCAGGTGGAAGACCTTGTGCCCTTGCAAAGATGGATTGTGGACTTCATGGGTATTGTAACATTAGAGCAATAGGCTTCACGAATTCATAAAACCAAACTTAAAAACATACAGATGTGCTAGAATCAGTTTCTCTAAAATCTCTTCTAACAAGCTAAGGCTATGTAAATATGCATATCTCTAATTCCTTCTTTTCCCCTCTTTTTTTTTTTTAAATAATGATGATTACGATGATGATAGTGATAGTAATAATACTACTGTTGTCATTATTGTCAGTACTGTTGTTACTGTTACTACTGTTGCAATTATTGTATGTATATGTATGTATACATAGAGATATATGTATGTAAATATGTATGTATATGTGTGTATGTATGCATGTGTGTGTATACACATTTGTATATATGTATTTTTGGATGTATTTTCTGATTAATATCCCTGGGGGTTGGGGGGTTCAGGTCCTGGGGCAGGGTGGGGTAGTGGGTGATAAGGGTAAAATGTATCTGAAATTTTGTACTCGTGTGCTCTTATTTATTGTTTGCTAATGAATCCCTTCCACCCATGAACACTAAAAATCAAATAAAATATTGATTACAAAAAGTAATCAACTACTGTCGGCCTAGTATTATTGTTAAACTGGCAAGGCAATGAACACTGATGCCATTAAAGTGACTAAAAGTTGTTTAAAAACTGAAATAGGTTAGTTCTTTTAGCCAGATTAACTTGACTTTTCTGTCACCTCTAGTTTGCCCTGTTCAGGGTACAGTGACGGTTGCCATGGAGATAAGCAGCATCATTATGGCTCGTTACCGTTACCAAACTATTCTGGTTTTAGCCTATTATAATTTGTATTATTGTGCTATGTAGGCCTACCTATCTCCTCTGTGGCCTACCCCGTGTGTGCTTTGGGCTCTTTGCTTGCGTAGTACAGACCCCCCTTCGTTCAGCGTGGTCTCTTACGCAAAAAGAAACGGTAGGTTGTGATTTGCTGTGGCGAGCCCTCCCCTCTCAGGGTGGCAACTTATTAGACGAGTTTGCAGGCGGAGTCGGTTTCTCTGTGCGCTAAATTGTGTATGTGTGTGTGTAACATCCTTTACAACTGCTGAAGTCGGGTACGAGACTGTCCTTTTGCGTTTCCTGTAAGGGACAGTCAACACACAAGGCACAAGGCACTCTACCCGATCCGCCTTCAGACTCCCAGAGCGCCGCACAAAGGGGATTTTACCTGGGAGTATGTCGCCAAATAAAGAAAGTGATGGTGGATGGCAGAAATTTCTCTGGAATCCTGAAAAGAAGGAGTTTTTAGGGCGTACCGGCGGCAGTTGGGGTGAGTGAATGTTTTATTTTTCCACGAGTTTGTAAAAGTTATTGTGATCACTTGTTATTACAGTGACATAACATGCAAAGTGTCTCCGCTCAATGGAGGATTTTGTTCTTCTCTCGCCATTTCCTGAACACAGACGGTTAAAGACAGCACCTGTTAGAGCACACTGTCAAACGGCGTGTCGTGACTTCGCCTTTCAATGGAGGCTGCTGCGGCTCCGAGAGACCCGAGTTACATTAGCGCTTAAATACATTCATTTGACGCGAGTAGCCGGGATAGAAAAGCCCACTGACCCGGTAAAGGTTGCATGCAGGCTAATTATCAAAGACTAATCAATAAAACTATCCCTGGAAACACGATTTGCCTCGTTACAGTGGCAATACAGGCCGTTACTCTTGAAGAATCAAATGAAATGTCCATCATAAGTAATGTTTTTGCTTGTAATACATCGTTAAAAGGCGGATTACACGTGTTTAGACTATATGGGGGGCATTGATTTAAAATGTCCCCGTGAAAAGGTCATCTTGAAGGACAGACAGTTGGTTGAGTTTTTTTTTTTTTCTCTCTCTCTCGCTCTTCAAACCGTTTGAACAGTGAAAGTTGGGTTGGGTTGCTCCTTTAACACTATTCATCCAACCTCCAGGGCTTGATTAAAGTCGCTACAAGGACATTTTATTCTTGCATTAATAAGCCCAGCGTTAATCTTTTGGCTACTGCGTACCACAGGCTCAACATACACACGACCAACTCTAATCGTTTTAACCCTCTTTCGTTACTTTAAGGCGGACAATGCACGGCTTATACGGGCGGCATTTGATGGGATAACTCACTACCTGCGTTACGTACCGCTAATCACATCCACTCTAACCAATTCAGGAGTTATAATAAAGGGTATTTCTGTGTGGATAGCCGGGTTGCTTCACAAACTGCTTGGTAACACGGGGCTGAGGACCACATCACGACTCATGTCTCAAGGGCCGCCTCTTCCATATTTTTTTTCCCCTCTGAAAGAAAAAAATGACATTAGACGGCATGGTGTTTTTGCAGAGAAAGTAAATGTTCACGCACTATAAGACACTGAAATAAGTTTTGGTCAACTACATAGCTACTTTAACGTACAAATCTCAGCGTAATAGTTAATTATTCAGGAGGAGTTTGTACCGAAAACAGTAACACGACGGATTTAGTTAGCATTAGCATTGCCGTGTTTTTACTGTCAATAATAGGCTATTACATTTGCTCTTCGGAGCGAAACCTCGATGGCACGTTAGATATAACTGAGCTAACAGCGTTACAAGCAACAGGTAGCCATGTTTGTTCTCCGTTTTCGCCGAAATTGTGAATAAATGAACGCAGTTAATGGACTTGTTGCTGTAAAATGGTGTACTTTGCTTTTTCACGGGGAAGGTGTTACAAATCACGAGTGTCCGTATGGAGGGCATTTCGCGCCGTTTTAGTGTCAACATTAGTCAGAGCTTGGGAAAACAGCGAAAGCTAAAATGAAGTCGTAAAAAGAGACACGCACAGATGAAATGGGGGCGTTTAAGTGTGGTGTGAATGTGCTATGTATGTATGTCCTGTCCACATGCTGCTGCAGAGTGTGTCCGGGTCCGGCCCGTGTGGGTGGGGGAGGGTCGCTCTTTGATCCATTCAAACTCAAAACTGCACTCTGGGACTCTCATGGGGTATTTACATTTCAGCCTGTTTACTACTTTTACTTCCACATGGACTACAAACGGGGCAGATAGTGGAGTTTGGGCCATATAGATTTTTACAGTTAGTGTATGGTCCAAATGTAAGCTGTCGGCATATTGAAAGTGAAAAGACAACATTGACTGGAAACTCTAAAATTGCTTAATAACTAAGAAGTGACCCCTGCTGTGTCCATGCAAAAAGTCCCATTGAGAGGAAGACCCAAACATCTGAGATCTGAAAGTGAAAGGACAACATTGCTGGCTACCTGTATGCAAAGTGACCAAGATTAGAGAGAGATAAAGATAACAATAAAATAGCCTTGATAAAGAAGAGTCTATTGGTGACTACTGGAGTTCCACACAACTTAACTTTAACTGTTTCAATAAACTCAAGCTTGTCCACAACTGTCCAACAATAAGTAGTGACGTGGTAGTTTGTTATCATCATGTTTTGCACACACCCCTCTGTACATCTGGTGTATATAAGATAGTTATAGGGGCTATACACAGCAGTTCATCTAAGTTTACAGCAGTGTAGTAGTCGTCTCTAAGGTGAAAATGTGCTGTGTGCTACTGGGGAATCGACAAGCATATATTGATCAGGAACAATTTACATTTTTACTCCAGAAAGTCAACATTAAGTGCCAACAGCATGGACCCATGGCGTTATTATTTAATAGTGATATAAAAGATTCATTCAGTGTGGGCCAAATTATTGTGAACTGGTAACTGCATGTCCCTAATTGGTTCAGCGTCAACATGGCAGGGAGACACACCTTGTGCATGTGTATATTTGTTTTGCAAATCCCCGCCCACGTCACTAAACATGCTCACTCCAGTACTACCATTCACTATAATTTATGTTTCTATCTCTCTCTTGGAAACTTGCACATTTTGCAGGACAAGTATAAGCACGACTTGCAGCCTGATAGTGCAATGCGCCCCAGCAGGTGCATCTTGGAGCAGCCGCTTTGCTCGCCAACATGCTCATTAGAAAATAGCTCAGCACATGTCTACAGCAGGTGGAGAAATGTAGCAATTTTGTAATTAATGAAAGCCGCAAAACAAGATTTGTTGCATTTTAGCGTTGTAAATATTCAACGGACTCTCACCAATAAAAGGCAGATCTTATACCCAAATAAAGTGCAGGTAGCAGGAAAGCGAAGTGTGAATACAACACAAACATTAGACATTTGAATGCATCTAGGGCCTTAAATATGAAATAAATGTAGGAGAAAACAGTATCTTCTTACACATGTCACAAAGACCAGACATGATCAAGCAGACAAAGCAGAATTCGATGCAAACTGTGTCGTTGAACCATTAAACTTGACAAACTGGTTTTGGATCTGGTAGCACAGCGACATGTATGTGTGCTGCTGTAGTGCATATAAGGAAACAGGTTATTAGCTGAGTGAAACAGAGCAAAGTGGACCCTTCTGGTTTGGCTGGACAATATCACACTTAGACTTAAGCTAGATTTAAAGGTGTGCTATGGAACTTGCTCCACATTATGGGCATCAAACCTGCATGTATCTATCTTGCTCTTTTGCAGGAGTTGTTGTCCGAAAGAATCCTTGAAAAACATGCAGTCTCTCAATGTTTGCAGGCTTGCTCAACATGGTGACGTCACCTGCCTGTCTCCATGGAGGTAGTTTAATGCCATACTGTGGAACTTTTCAGGCAAATCCTGGACGCAAGCAAGTTGTTTGCCGTCATCAGAAAGATTGCATAGTCCATTGTTGTTATTGTGTATGGTTAATGTTCTGTATCGTGTTTTGAATAGTGCACCTTTAACAGCAAAAGTCACTACCCAAGTCACATGTTCACGAGTGTTAGTTATATGAAGACTAGGGATGGGCATTCGATGAAATTTTCTTAATCGATCGTCGGAAGAATTAACGATCGATTATCAATTAATCATTAACGTTTTTATATTAAAATGATCATCATTATTATTACTATCTGCACTACTAATCTGCATAAATAAATTCAACTTTACGACATATAAACCGTAACGACTCTAGAGCCACATCAATCTGTTTGACATTATAATGTGTTTAATTCAGTTTTGCGCAACTCTCACAGAAACCGCATGGCTAATTTGCATAAACTCAGCCAAGATAAAACTACAGCTCTTGTGCCCAGATGCGGTCAATTTCTGTTGGATTAAAAGACACGACTCAGTGGAATACAGGTTAGTGTGACCATATTTGCGTTTGTCAAAACCAGGACACCGTACGGGAGGTGGGAGGTGGGGACTCGTCATCGACATTGCGCAACTCTCACCTGGTAAAGCTTTTTCCCACTGGACACCGAAACATGTGCTGCTTTGTACACTGTGCACATGGACTCACACTTGTCCCGAACGCAACGGAAAGCGTGGAATTTCTTGTACAAGTCATCGTTAAATACGCATATGCACTTCGGTACGTTGCAGGCGGACTGATTGTTTGTGTCTCGCTCCTTCTGAGTGCAGAGAGCTACTTGTACGGACCCCTGTTTGGTCACGCTACGCACAGCAACCTACATTCGGTTTGTCGATTAAAATTTACGTAATCGATGAAATTCTTAATGATCATTTATCGATTAATCGACTAATCATGCCCATCCCTAATGAAGACTATAATATAGACTTTAAAGAAAAATCTCATGTATTTAAAACACGCTTGTAGAGGTCTAAACTACACTTAGCAGATTTTTATACATAAATAAACCCCAAAACATATTGTATCAGACTTTGTGATGTTTGACCATTCAAAGTGATTTGGATTTGACTGGAGATGAATCATGTGTTGCCCACAGAGGAGGGTTTTCATGCTGCTAAACCTGCTGTGAGTGGCAGCACTGAGGGGGAAGGGTCTAAAAGGCCGGAAAGACAAGTGACTCAACCCTGCCCTCCTGGCACTGCAGGCCCCCTACTGTTGCATAATTGGTGTAAATTTTAAATTAGGGGACCAAAATGAAGCCCCACATCACTATTATTCAACAATGGCTTCTCTGATAATGAAGAGAAGAAATCACACAGCAGGATGCAGTTGGTGTGGACTCTGAAACTTAAGAAAAAGCACTCTGTTTTTGTTGGAAGCTGAATTTGAGCTATGTTCTGGTTGTTCTGCTGTGAAGGAAAAAGACCTGAAAATAAACACTTACTTTGTGTTTTTTTCCCCCGCAGCTAAAATCACCTTGTTCTACATCATTTTCTATGGATGTTTGGCTGGAATCTTTGTCGGGACCATTCAGGCATTGCTGCTTACATTAAGCAACTACAAACCGACCTATCAAGACAGAGTCGCACCTCCAGGTAAGATCTGTAGTCAGTTTATTTTATTATTAAGATAACTCGATGTGACTGTAAGCCACATTTCTATTCTATTTATTTATATGATCATTACATTTTAAAATAACTTTTAGGTCTTTCATAAGAAGTAATATACCTCAGTAAATATCAACTTACTGTATTCTTAAGTTTGAGTGGCATGCATATTTCATGACATTGGATGCCATTGTGAGGACTAATGATGATCATTCAAAAGATAGATCAGAATGTTTTTATTGCTGTGAACACATCCTTAATTTTACATCACATGAAACCTATGGATAGATCTGAAATCTATCGCTGAGAAGAAATTCACTTGTTTGTTTATGGCATTGATAATTCAATTCACTAACATTGATAAAAGTGCAGTATTTCTTCTCATAATATGCACCTCTATGCAGCTCTCTAATATTTGACACTGGGTTATTCCTGAGTTAGATACATTTGTCCAGTAGAGCAGTTTCTATGAGGAGGAGCTAGTGGTGAGAACGAGAGTTCAGTGCTGTCTGCTGGAGCCCTGCTCAGTAACTCAGAGGTGTTTTTGGCCCCTGCCCCCTGTGGAGATATTAAAAGTGACTGTTGGGGTGTGCCTCTCTATCTGGAGCCTGCCTGACCTCAGATAGGTTCAGCCATTTTGTCCTTCACCGCTCTAAGCCCGTCAATGGCACTCCCCCCAGGCCACAGCAGTAGTAGTTTACAGTTCACACCCTCCTCTCGGGGAGCATTCATGTGCACCACGATCGAGTTGCACGTCATGTGTAACATACAATTGTAGAAGTTTGTCATAACTGAGGCCCCTAAGCCTGTGCTGCTGAAATCTAATCTGTAATCTTCAGAAAAACACTGTAAATATGGCACTCTCGTTGTTATGGACAGTCTTAGGGTTCCTGTAAACGTCAGAGCAGCTCCGGTCAGACACCTTGTGCCAGCTCTCACTCAGCTCTGGCGCTAGGGTATTTTTAGCTGCTATTGTCAATAAGTGGCTTCATATGTCAGGCCTGTAACAATCAAAGACAAGCAGAGCAGGAGCAGAGCAGTGCATTTCCAGTAGTGGCATGATAAAGGAAGCACAGAGGCGGTTTTTTTCACTAGAGCTCAGTGCGCCTCTCACTCTGGGGCTAAAAGTTTCCATTGTGAGAGAACACGTGAGCCGGGTGGGGGCAGGGCACGGGGAACTTTCACAAGCCTCCACTGAAATCCAAACGCTCTTCGGCAGCCCTCAAATGGCTCCAGTGCTGGTCATATCCAGGGGAGCTAAATGCATCGTGGTACAGCTGGCACGGCTTAATAAATGTCATGTTTCCTCCTTGTGCCATCTGAAGCCACGCCTCACAGGGCCTCGTGCGCACGCTCTGTGGAAAATTACAGCTCTGACAGAGACAGGGACCAGAGGAAATCCCCAAGCCTCAACTGTGGTCCTAAGACAATGGGCCCTACTCTTTCAGCTTTAGCTGTTATCATGCAAATAAATACACAAACATTTTCTCTTATAAACTATGTTTTACACAATCTTAACAACAAATGTCTTTGCAGGTCTATCACACACACCACGGTCGGACAAATCAGAAATAGCCTTCAATATGAATGATCCAGAGTCATATAAGAAATACATCAATACCATAGATGATCTGCTTAAAAAGTATGATGATGATCTGCAGACGAAGGAGAAAAACTATGAGAACTGTGGAGGTAGGAAAACACCAGCCAGTGGTTATATTCAAACATGTTACTACTTTTACATGTTTGTTTGTTGTTGTTTTTTTACTGAATTCATACAATGTAAGTGTTAATGAAGCCTGGATGATGTGTGATTATAGTGGAGCCTCTGCCACACAAAGATCGTGGTCCTCTGTTGAGCGACCAGGGCCAGAAGAAAGCCTGCCGCTTCAGCCGGTCGTTGCTGGGCCCCTGCTCTGGAGAAACAGACACCAACTACGGCTTCAAGGAAGGAAAACCCTGCCTCATCGTCAAGCTCAACAGGATTGTCAACTTCATACCCCGGGTATGTGCGCTGCTCACTGCATCCTTTCTTACCTTTCACTGTTTTATCAAGGTTGAGTTTTAGAAAAGAAGTTTTTTGTTTTTGTGTTTTTGTTAAGCAGCGTTTAGTCACAGTTAATCAAACGGTCCCATTATTACAGTTGAGAGCACTGCACTGAGTAGACTACAGTTCGGTTTACATTTCCATCAATTTTTCTGCAGACATTCCACATTTTTTATTAATTTTCACTTTTGAATTTGTTTTTCAGGCTCCCACTAATGACTCCATGCCTGAATCTATTGCGTCTGCCTTTAATCCCAACCTAATCCCCATTTACTGCAAGAACAAGGTAAAGTCATCCTACAGCTTTAGCCTTCGGAGAGTTTTGTCACATTCAGTCTTAATATTGTTCGTCATGTCATTGCAGAGGGATGAGGACAAAGAAAAGGTTAAAGAAATTAAATACCACGGTATCCAAGGCGGCTTCCCCCTGCAGTACTACCCCTACTATGGCAAGCTACTGCACCCCCAGTACCTACAGCCCCTGGTGGCCGTGCAATTCACCAACCTGACAGTAGGGGAGGAGTTGCGCATTGAGTGCAAAGTGTATGGCGCAAACATCTACTACAGCGAAAAGGACCGCTACCAGGGACGCTTCGACGTCAAGATCACCATCAACAACTCGTGACCTCAGCCGCATCTAAAAATACACGTAGAATTATCAAAACACCACTAGTCTTTGAACATTCACGATATACAGGACCTACACTTAATCTGTTGTGTGCTTTACACTAGCTTCTTCTGTGCGCGTGTCCAGGGTTAGAATGTAAAATACCAGAGTAGCAATAGCAAATATTTATTCTACTGTAAATGAGATATTCCTTGAGCCATGGGATGTGTTTCATCAATTACTGTAACTGCAATTCCACTACTGACGCTTCGCGAGCCGTGTGTATGTGTCCCGCCTCTCTCACCTGATGTGGTTTATATATTTTTGGAGTGTCCCGTGCCGTACCCCTTGCCTCGTCTTCCCCCCTTCCCTCTCTCTCGTCTTATGTCAGCTTCAGTGGTCCAAGGTGTGTATGTGTATGTATGTGTGTGTGTGTGTGTGTGTGTGTGTGTTTGAGGTGTGTGTGAAATACAGCATGGTACTCTGAAGCCACGGCCCGTGAATGAGTTAACACTGCGCTCCATGGACTCTTCCTTTGTGTTTCTTTGACCGAGTTTGTTGTTGGGTTTTGTCCGAGTGGAAGGACACAGTTCGTATGTTTTTGTTCTTGTTCACCTTTAGTTGTAGTTTTGGATTAGCAACATTTCTGTTCCGTTTTCTTCTTAATGATAGTGTAGAGAGCTTTGTGGGTCCAGCCTAAAGACTGTCACCTCCATGGAAACAGTGGCAACTCAGTGCTTTTAAATCTGTTTTGCTGGAGACATCACGTTATGTGATGCAACTTACTATTGAATGTTTTAGCCATTTTCATGGTGGAAGAATTTTATATTTATGCAGTTGTACATTTTTTTCAAAGTGTAATGTAAAAATCCAATACCAAAGGCGCTGGTCTAGAATATCAGAGGTGATGCAGTATGCCATGTACAAATGTTTAGTTGGTGTGAAATACTTAATTCAATGTTGAAGATCAAACACCTGTTTATTTAATCTGCATAAGGCTGAAACAATAAAACGAAAAATACGACAACTGTGAATTCTTTGTACAGTCCAGATTCTTCTCATCCTCTCATCCATCCAGAATCTTGAAGAAATACTGCACCTGCAAAACAAAAGGAAGATGCGATCAGCCTCTTTCCACTAATGTGAATTTAACAGCCTCCAGGCCCATGGGGAAGAAGGTCAATAATGCACTCCTTCTTGACTGCCTCAGCTGTGTTCTGTCTTGGGAAAATGTCCGTCCGCCCGTTCGCTCATGGCTAATGGTTAACACAGAGGCATTTGTCCCAGGGCAGATCAGGAGTTGTGCCCTGAACAATGACGCTCAACCCACTCCCTGCCACAACAACGGGTTTGTTTGAGAGCTCCCTCCATTCTTCCTCTGCTCAGACCAGGGTGATGTGAAGCTGCCTGGCCCACTGCGGTCATGGGACCCAGGAGACCGCGTCAGGGGTGAGGGGGTGAATGTCAAATGGTGTTTAAGCAGCAGCATTAAGACAATGGAGGAATTATGGGACACATCAAAGGAACTACACACATGAATGACAGGGGTGTAGTACTGCCCAGGATGGGAAGATTTAGGAACAACCGCCTGGTGTTAAATGAAAATATAAATAAAAAAGGTAGACATCTGGGTTAAACTGAAATGATGATCTTGACTCTACAAAATCTGGATGTATTTTGGCCACCCACCCCTAACAATTACAATCAGGCATTTTGTTCAGTAGCCATTACGTCTTTTGTTGAAATTAATTTTGGCACATTTTCTCGGTGTTCCTCTTTGTTAAATAAACCAAATAGTAATACCAGTACATACTTCTAACACTCCATCTTCAGGCAGGTCCGTACAGTGCACTGCGTTTTTCACTTTGTCTTTGCCGTATAGCGCCCGTAGAGTTGTAGGACGGAGATGTCGGGCAATTTCCTAGAAGAGGAGAGAAATGGATTAAGTTAGTCACCACAGTAACACACAGAGAACATGCAAACTGGATTGACCCAAGAGAATTAAACCCATAATCAAATAATTGTGACTTTGCCTTATGTGTCATACTGAATATACATTGTCCAGTCCATTGTGGCGTTCTAACTACTACTACTACTACTACTACTACTACTACTACTACTACTACTACTATTTCAAAAGACATTCGGTTATTGCAGGCCAAGCAACTTCAACACGATCCATATGCACACAATAGCAAACTTTTAAGATAAACTCAAGAAAAATAAGACAAAATGGATTCAAACAACGCATTTCCAGAGTTCTGTGATCAGTACTGGCACTGATAGTCCTGTTTAGTTTGATTATGAACAAAAAAGGGTTAGAGCAACTTATTGAAAAACTCATGGCTCCATGTAGTTCCAGCTAAATCAGTTCTTCGTGGTCAGATTGTGTTAAAACAAATGTCAGATTAAAGTCTAACTTGAGTAACAGCTTCAGGCAGTGTCACAGTTGGCATCACACCCCACGGAGTACACCAGCTTCGAAGTATCAATAAAAAAACAAAACAGAAAGCACACTCTTTAAAAATGATGTCTGCTATTTACAGTTCAATAAAGACACCGCATTTGAGTGAGATTTCAAAACTCTTGCCGTTGTCCTGTTGCCACTAATGATTACTCAGCTAACATGTGACCAAAAGAGGAAGAAAACTCAGCAACTTTTATCATCATGGAAACATCCCCAAATCACAAATGTTGACTCAAATGTGCTATGGTATTTCTCAAAACTGAGCATTAAAAAAAGGCCAGAAATAAATTGTGACATGACATACTTCTTGGAACTGAAATATCCAAGATAAGAGTTTCCAAGTTGCCCAAGTAATTTCACCATTTACTCCCAAAACCCTGAAGGAGTGAAGTAAAGTTACCATTATTAACTTGTGAATTCTTTGTGCCGTCCAGATTCTTCTTTGGTTTTGGACTTTTAACCTTTTTCACATCAGACAGGGTCAAATCAAGGGCTCCACATGTTCAAGGAAACATAACTCTCCCACAGGGTCCAGTAATAGGGGACAATGTGTCAATAAATTATTTACCAGGGCGACTCTTAACACTTACAGAGTCTGGGTAGTGGGCATTAAGGGAGAAAGAGTGAATGTGGACAATGTAATAACAAGGTAATAACTACACAAGGTATATAACTATACTGAAATGCTGTATAAACATGTTTCTACTGCTGATGCAAGACTGATCATATTTTCTTTTTCATATACTTCAAGAAAGTTCACTTCAAACTACAAAATTACCAAAACAGGATAGTCTTGTACACTGAAGAAGTTAGACACAAAGTTACTGCCAGTTACCAATTGATGAGGCATTTCTGGAGAATTTAAGTTGAAATGGCAACTATTCATGGCGTGAAAACATTTCCTATGACAGAGCCTTTCTTCTGCCGTGGTTTATGAGTGAATTTTACAAAAGACCGGATCTAACTCAAGGTCATCTGTCACACCTCCATTCTCTTCAAACTCTTTCATTCAGAACAAACAGCCAGGGTCCCTCCTCTACCATTGTTTTAGACAAGACCAGGTCTAAAGCAGAGGGGGGAGCAACTGCATTAGATAACCTAAAGTGTGTTTTTGAAGACTCCATAATTTCCTACAGCTATACTTTCACTCTCATAAAATGTGACCCGTATATGGGATAGTAACAGGATGTGGTAAAAGTGCTTCACTGTGTTTTCAGCCCAGGAATTGATCATTAAGGGTGTGCAAAAATATTGAAATATCGATATATCTTATCGCTTAATGTGATGATACAGTATCGATATCATGGACTGCTGTATTGATATATCACCAAGAGTATTTTTTGGTGTATTTTACTCAATTATTTTGTTACAGAGCTACAGTTTTAGTGCTTGTTTAGAGGAAGGGAACTCTTTTGTGCGACACACTTTACATTTTCACTGTTTTGATGATTTAAATGTTTGCGTTTCATATACACTGCACAAGAAGTGATTTAAGAAAGACTTACTATTACTATTGAAATATATCGTATTGAATCGAAAGTGCACTGAATCGAGGTATGTATTGTATCAGCAACTTATTAATGATACCCAGCTCTATTGATTATCGCCACGCTACTGAAATAAACACATCTGTGAATGAAACAAAACACAAATTTGCGTATGTTTTGATGAGGTAACAAGATTCAAGAGTCAATTTTGGGTAATATAGGACCTTTAACTTCTATAATAGCAGTTATTGTAGTGAGAAGTGGCCTAAACATAATAACATTCACAAGTTTTAATTTATTTAACCATCACTTATTTTAACCTTTAGTAAAAATGGCTAGAGTTGTGTTAGAAAAGAAACACTTGGGGCATTCTCTATGATGTTATTATTTCCATATAGCTAAAAGTCACTTTCAATCCCAGGGCAAAGGGTGTGAGTAAATCCCTGCAGAACTATAAGTACTTAAGTTTTGAGTACACACTTCTACTGCCCTGTGACGTCAGCTGGGACAGGGGCAGGTTGTCTCCATGATAAACACATTTCTCCATAGGACTGCTGCTGGACGTAATAGCATTAGTTACAGATGAGTGCGCGGCTGCCTGCTTTAATCTGATTCCATAGTCCCTATAGTGAGAGCTGGTGTGTAGTGTGCTGAGGAAAAGGTCAGGACAGACTGCCCACTGCCTCCCTGAACATTTACAAACCCCACAGGAGACATTTTGGACATCTTCTGGAGCTTGGGACAGAGCTAGTGATCAATGTGTGTCATAACAGCAGTGATTCAGATTTGCTGGAGAGACGTCGCTACTTACGGGATTTCATTTAGGCAGCATTAGGTGATTAATTTGTATTGTGATTTAATGTCTTCCTTATTCTGTAAAGCACTTTGAATTACTTTGTTTATGAATTGTGCAATACAAATAAACTTGCCTTGCCTAACGAAATAATAACTAGTTTAGTCATCTCCATTGAGCAATCAGACAACCACGTATTCACTGCACAGTACAAGATGCAAAAAGACCAGCATTTTAGCATTTTATGTTATCATGGGACATCCCTGGTTTGGGTTCATTGGTAATAATAAAAGTGTGAAACGAAAGCGTAATTAAGGAAAATTGATACGCACTTGTCACTAATGTCAGTCAGTATAGTCATGTTTTTTGTGTTTTTGTCATTTTTTAAGCAGCTTTTCTATATTTTAATGAAACAAATGCCAAGTTAGGCCCCTGTTTACTGTTGGCAGGCATCAGATTGGTCAAAAATAGGGACATTTCATGTATAAAATTGTGACAAATCAGTGGTTTTGGATAAATCTGCTGGGACAGGGGATACAGGGCTCAAAACTGGGACTGTCTCAGATAATTAGGGACATCTAGTCACTCTAGTACAGTGGCTTGTACCATGTGTGCCAGTCCCAAGTACAAAATGTGCTGTACTATTTCCTCTCTTAAAATTAGAAAAACAAAACCAGTTCATTTTAAATTGTTGTGTGGCCCAAATTGACTCCTCACTTTCTACTTCATTCTGTTTAATGATCCACCATGATTAGTTAATTACCCCGTTTTACAGCTTTCAGTTCATGAATGCAGTAAAAAACAACTGCCATGCTAACAGAGCACTGTCATTTATACCCTTTTACAAATTTAACTTTATTACATTAAAAATCAAGTTGAGCATCTTGGACAAAAAAAGTGATTCAATTTTGAAATGATGGGCCATTATTATAATTTTATGACGAAGGCTTGGGGCTTTTTGCCAATAAAACCCAACTGCTTTCTATGACCTCTTGATATAATTCTCTGTTACAAGCATGGCCCTTTAACCACCCTGACACCGCTGACTTGAAGCTAACATTATTTAGGCTAATTGGCTGAACTAAGTGGCCTAATATGATGTGCTGCACTATCAGACAGGAGTAGCTCAGAGCGCACGCAGTTTAGAAAGCCTTGTATCTGTACCTCTGCGCTGATAGTGGACATCACAAGACCTCAGTATCTTGTGACCGAGGAGAGCGGAGGTGTGAGAGAAATAATGTATTGAGAAATAACCTACACTATCTAGACATATTTCCAAATCTTTCA